TGATCCCAGGGTCCTGGGATCGAGTCCCACATCGGGCTCCCTGCTCCGCGGAAAGCCTGCTTCTCCCTCTCCCACTCCCCCTGCTTGTGTTCCTGCTCTCACTGTCTCTCTCTGTCAAAAAAATAAATAAAATCTTTAAAAAAAAAAAAAGGTTTGCAGACCACTGAGCTTTAATGGGGGCAAATGGATCCTGTCGTGAATGGTAATGTTATGCAAAAATGTGCACGTGACACATTTCTTTGGGGAGAGGGTCTGTAACTGCTATCACAAGTTTAAAGGGGTCTGTGACCTATAAAAGCGTCACTGATCTAGTCCATGCCTCTGCGAGCCACCCTCTCCTATTTTATTGAAGCCCAGAGAGGGTCAGTGACTTGCTCGTGGTGGCACAGGTGAGCAGAAGGGCCAAGGGTGGAGCCCGGGGCTCTTGGGCAGCCATGCGGGCCTCCCCTGCAGCTCCCCCTTTCTGATGAAGCCTGGGAGCCCAGAGCAGGACATGATCTCATCTCCAGGGCGGCCCGGAGAAACAGTCATCAGTCTTCCTGCAGCCTCGCAGAGGAGGAGGAGTTCAAGCTTCTGGGAACGTAACCCAAACCCCAGCGCAATGTCTTCTGTGTACTACTTGCATCCCGACTGCGCATGGGAGTTCCCACTGACTGAGCTCATACCCTATGTTGGGCCCTCGGGGCAGGACCTTACAAACAGCAGCCCTGGGCGGTAGGTAACACTGTTACTCTTGGATGGGGCGGCTGAGGCTCAGAGAGGCCAAGGTCCCTAGATGGGCAAATAGTGGGGTTGGCTTCAAACCCAGGTCTGTCTGACTCCAGAGACAGGGTGGTCTCTGATCCCTGCACCTCTGCAGCCATGGGCTGGGGGCAGGTGTAGACTTCTGCCATCTGTCCGTCTTCCCTAGAGAAGGATGGACGCTCAGGGACACCTCCGACAGCAAAAGGAGTCACTATGGTGGCCCAAGAGGGCAAAACTTACAGTGTAGGTGGATGGCCACTCCCAAGGACACCAGCAGAAGCAGGACTCCGGCCACCAGGAGGCCGAGGGTGAGGGGGCCACAGGAGGGGCCTGGAAAAGACACACTTACTGAACATCTGAGGCATGCACATAAAAATACAAAGAGGGAAAAATCAACCGGAAGTCCCACCTCCCAGAGAATACCACTGTTTGCATATTTTTCTTCTCTTTCTTTCTAGGTACTTTAAACACACTGACATAATTTTACATGGAAGATGTTATGTCCCGCATCATCATTTTAAAAATTAATTAAACTCAGGAGCTACTTATGTTGAAAGGAGATAATTTTCATGCCCGGTAAAGAGATTTTTACTATTTATTTTTAAAGCTTTTATTTTAACTACACAAGAGATTGCTGAATATATTTTCCTTGTAAAGGATTCAAGTATATGGTTAGAGTGCTCCTTGGCATGCTAGCTCCTTCACAGGAAAAAAATGCCATGGTTAATTTGGTACCTTTCTCTTTGCATTTACACATGCATAATTTACACAAACACATACAGGTTTTTTTTAAAGCATACAGTGGCTTATACTGTACAAATTGTTTGGCAAACCATTTTTTTCTTCACTTAAATATATCAGGGGGCGCCTGGGTGGTGCAGTCCACTGAGCGTCTGACTCTTTGTTTTGGCTCAGGTCGTAATCTCAGGGTCGTGAGACTGAGCCCCGAGTCGGGCTCCACGCTCAGCGCAGAGTCTGCTTGAGACTCTCTCTCCCTCTCGCTCTGCCCCTCCCCCCACCTCTCTCTAAAATAAACAAATAAAATCTTTTTAAAAAAATATCTCAGCACACACTTTTCCTAGCAGAGTAACATTTGCAGTTTGGACATACCATGGATTATTCAGCCATCAGATGGGCATTTTGTTTGTTTCCTATGTTTTACTTTTACAAATAACTGCAGAGAATATCCTGGTACATTTTTCCTAATGTAGGAGGCAGCCTGAGGCAGACACTGAAAACAGGAACCACCAAACCATCAACTATGTCCGTTTAAAGTTGTGATAGACACTGTGAAGAGCCTTCCAAAAAGCCTGCACTGATTTTCATTCCTAACCACCAGCTGTGCCCCTTGCCGACCCTCAGTATCACCCAAGTGTTTAGTTTTTGCCAGTGTAGTGGGTTTAACATGATACTTCACTTGCATTCCCCGATGATTTGTCAGCGTCAGCCTATTTTCATATATTGGCCGCTTGTATGGCTTGGCCTGGCCTTTCTTGCCCTGCTCGGGTTTCGGGGTCCCCTGAAGCCTAGAGGCTACCACACCGTTGCTCTCAATGTCATCTCCAGGGACAGCCCGAAGCCTTAGGGAGCAGGCCCTTCCGCAGGGTGGCCGTGTGGTTTCATTCATGACGACAAGCTGTGGGCTCTAGCTGGGTGCCCCCCTCAAGATGAGCGCCTGGGCTTCTTTCTTTACATCACCGTGGGGGGCAGGGGCGTTGGTGCCAGGGTATTTGGAGTATTCCCTCTGGTGCAGCTGGCTTCGCTGCTTCTCTACTTCTCTAGAATCCCAGCACACACAGACCCAGTTTCGGCACCCGCAACTTAGTGGCCCTGGTGTATTTGCCTTTTGTGTCATTTTTTGTTGTAACCGACCTGAGATCCTTTAGGCAAAGTCGTGGGGCATGGATACTTTACCTCATTCTATCTCCACCTCATGCTCCCCAAGACTGTGCCCTTCTGCGTATGGACTCTGATTTCCTTTACTACTGTGACCCCGTGGGGCAGCTTCCTGCTCTGATCC